CTGAAACTGTTACCTTAAAGCGAAGGAAGGTTTCTTAGCAACGCTAGAATAATCTGCTCTGAACCTAGCAGCTGAAACTGTTACTGGAAAGCGAAGGAAGGTTTCTTAGCAACGCTAGAATAATCTGCTCTGAACCTAGCAGCTGAAACTGTTACTGGAAAGCGAAGGAAGGTTTCTTAGCAACGCTAGAATAATCTGCTCTGAACCCAACTGCTGATACGGTGCCCTGGTGTCCAGGATTTCTCTCTACTCTCGAGCCAGGTTGCCAGTGATCAGATGTAGTCACTTGTAAAACTACTAGGTCACGCAAACGATGGCCGAGTTTCCACGCGACGTAGGAATGCCCCCTGCCAAATCTCTGTTGATATACCTCGTCAGGTAAAGGATTTTTCTCCCCGTTTGTATCGTACCAGGAGGTTTAGTTTGTAATCCACAAATGATTCTGATTAACAAGTGATTATTTACGAAGATTGGTTAAGTTCGCTTCTAATGTTCGTAAAAACTATTTTCATACGTACCGCGAGCTATTCGGAGGGAGGGGGGGGGGGGGAGAGTTAAGTGTTTAATTAAGGAAATTCAGCACCATGTTTTATTGTAATTTTTTAAATGTATTTATCATAACGTTAATATTTGAATCAGTATTTATATTTTTTTTACGAGTTTACCGCCTCAGAAAACGTATCTCATGCGACATATGCCATGTTCTGGAGCTACGTCACCATGACGTCACAGCGAGGCGAGTTTTTTAACTTTCGAGTTGTGTGAAGTTTGAGGTGTAAAGTTCGTTTTAACTAACCGTTTCTGTAACATACCAGCCTTCAAACTCAAACCAAGTTAATATTTTAACCGCTTACATTATCAGTATTACGTCATTAAAGAGATAAATTATTAGTTTTAGTTGTCTTTATCAAGACTATAAATAAATAATAGAACTTTTATATAAACCGACTTTTTCGTACGGGTTTATATAGTTGAATTAATATTATTAAAGACGGACTTTGATGCAAACAAACTTGTACAGCGGATGACCAGAAATTGGCTCACTGTTGCAACACTGTTGTTGACAGCTTGAAATTAATTACTACTTCATTTTTTGTTGAGAACCAGAAGTTAATTAATTACAACACTGTGTTGTAGAGAACCAAAAGTTAGTTTGTTACTACATTGTGTTGTAGAGAACCAAAAGTTAGTTTGTTACAATACTGTGTTGTAGAGAACCAGATGTTAGTTTGTTACAAACTGTGATGTAGAAAACCAGATGTTAGTTTGTTACAATACTGTGATGTAGAAAACCAGATGTTAGTTTGTTACAATACTGTGATGTAGAAAACCAGATGTTAGTTTGTTACAACATTGTGTTGTAGAGAACCAGATGTTAGTTTGTTACAACACTGTGATGTAGAAAACCAGATGTTAGTTTGTTACAACATTGTGTTGTAGAGAACCAGATGTTAGTTTGTTACAACACTGTGATGTAGAAAACCAGATGTTAGTTTGTTACAACACTGTGTTGTAGAGAACCAGATGTTAGTTTGTTACTACATTGTGTTGTAGAGAACCAAAAGTTAGTTTGTTACAATACTGTGATGTAGAAAACCAGATGTTAGTTTGTTACAACACTATGTTGTAGAGAATCAGATGTTAGTTTGTTACTACATTGTGTTGTAGAGAACCAAAAGATAGGATTATCTAAAACATGGTACTATAACAAACCAACTTCTAGTTCTCTACATTATAGTGTTGTAACAAACTAACTTCTGGTTCTTTACAACACAGTGTTATAACAAACAAATTTTTGGTTCTTTACAAAACATGGTGTTGTAACAAGAGAAGTTTATCACAATAAAGTGTTATAGAGAACCATAAGTTTATCACAATAGATGATATAGAGAACCAGATTTAGTTATATGAAAACGATTTTGGAGCTCATAACGTCATTATAATCCATATCGCTGGTTATGTCTTCTTATGAAATAAAATGAATACCCATTTTATTCTTCCGCTATCTGAGGTTTGCGACATTTGAACGGGAGTTAGTGACTGGAAACCTTATCTTGGTGAACCCATATCCTTTTGACCTCGTGTCCAGCCAGGTATACTTCTTGATAATATGGCGTACTAGAGCATGGGCGGCTTTCCCCACTGACGTTTGTGTTAATGGGATTCTTATCTATTACAAGACATCGTATTTTGCTTTTCTATGGCTGTGATTACGTTACAGGTCTCTTTCTGGATAGTCCAGGTACCTCAAGCTGATCCATATGTTTTTATTTTTCTTTCCCAATGTCACTAAATAAAATAATATGATTGTCTTGGAAATATTAGGTCCCCGGTCTGAACACATCGTTATTATGTGAGTGTATGAATATTTTGCGTTGGAAAGGGTTCTTACATACTCTCCCCCAAAATGATAAAGTTTCGGCGGCATTACACTACCTACGAAACACCAAATAATATCATAAAGTAGTTCTAATACATTCTGTTTCGGCTGTGGTTGTCGTGTGACTGGCTCAATTGCATAATTAAAATTATTTCATAATAAATGTACTCAACCCCTCGTAATTTACCATATCGTGTTATAGACAACTAAAGTTCATAGTTACAACACCAATGAATGTTGTACTATTCTATGCCTTATTTAACTCTTAACAGTGTAGATGTTTGGCACGCAACTTTTGTTTCATCATTATAAAAAAACGAAACTTGTAATGGATTGATACTCTTCTAAACAGCGTAAATTAATGATTTTCTTACACGTGGATATTTCTTTTTTTTTAGTACTAAATTTACCACAACAATCTTGCTAGGGGTTTACTACAACAACAGTCTTACTGGAGGGTTTACTACAACAACGGTCTTACTGGAGGGTTTACTACAACAACAGTCTTACTGGAGGGTTTATTACAACAACAATCTTACCAGGGGGTTTATTACAACAACAGTCTTACTGGAGGGTTTACTACAACAACGGTCTTACCAGGGGGTTTACTACAACAACAGTCTTACTGGAGGGATTACTACAACAACAGTCTTACTGTAGGGTTTATTATAATAACCGTCTTACTGGAGGGTTTACTACAACAACAGTCTTACTGGAGGGTTTACTACAACAACAGTCTTACTGGAGGGTTTATTACAACAACCGTCTTACTAGTGGTTTTACTACAACTGCATTACTGAAGGTTTACTGCAACAACCATCTTATTGAAGGTTTACTACTACAACGGGTTTAATGACGTTTTTCTGATCGTATTTATCCACACAAGGTAATTTAGCTCTGTATCAGCTATAAAAATAGTTTTAAAAATCCTGAGTAATGATTGATATCCGGCTGATAGTCACTTGAGATGCTTAGATTTGTTTTAATTTGGCTTATTTGATATCCGACTGATAGTCACTTGAAATGCTTGAATTTGTTGTTTCAATTCTGGGTTAATTGATATCCGGCTGATAGTCGCTTGATATGGTTGAATTTTTTGTTTCAATTCTGGGTTAATTTATATCCGGCTGATAGTTAAGGATATATAGACAGACAGACATTTGGTTATTTGTATATAGATTATTGGTGGTTTTTATGTAACTAACAGGGCCACAACCGGCTGCGGACGCTAAGTAGTTGTGGGCTATAGCATCTAAACCCTGATCACTATTTGATTTTCCTTGTTAGCTGTTCTCGAGCTAACGGCGTTAAAATACAGGGATCGATTCCTTGCGGTGGACAGAGCGCAGGTAGTAGTCTGTTATGTAATTGCGCTAAGACAAAAAACAACAACAACAAACAAAAACAATCCCTAACGAACTAGCTTGTTTCCCTGAGCGTTTTCTTCATTACCGCCATCTAGTGCCGAACGTAATTTTTCTTGTTGTTGTTACGACTGTTTTCCCCCACACATCAGCTTACTTTTACTTTCTGAATTATGTTAATTGAATGTTCTTTAAAATGCAGTTATAAAATGTAGCTAATAACTGGAGAACGTTTCAGGTTGGGGAGTTTTACTTCGACTCCAAAGATTCTGAACAATGATACAGCCGACAATGATGTGGATATTCCCGAACATTCGAGTCGTGAAGAACTGCTGAAGAGATGTGAAAAAGAACTGGAACACCTTCCTCCACCAATCCGACGTTCTTTCCATTACTTTGATGGATCTCGAGTTTCGTCTGAAGAAATCCCACATTGTAAACCACAGGCGATTCGTGTTATGCAGTGGAATGTATTATCACAATGTAAGTTTTGAAATTCTCGGTCGAAACTGTAGTGTCTCTGTCCGTCCGAGGACCTGCCATGGCCTAGTTGTGTACCAGACTGTGAACCTACAGTGACCTCATAAAAAATATAACGTCACGTGTAACCGTTAATAACATTGTAAACGTCACGTGTAACCGTTAATAACATTGTAAACGTCACGTGTAACCACTAACAACTTTGTAAACGTCACGTGTAACCACTAACAACTTTGTAAACGTCACGTGTAACCATTAATAACTTTGTAAACGTCACGTGTAACCACTAATAACTTTGTAAGCGTCATGTGTAGCCATTAATAACTTTGTAAACGCCACGTGTAACCACTTACAACTTTGTAAACGTCACGTGTATCCACTGATAACTTTGTAAACGTCACGTGTAACCACTAACAACTTTGTAAACGTCACGTGTAACCACTAACAACTTTGTAAACGTCACGTGTAACCACTAACAACTTTGTAAACGTCGCGTGTAACCACTAACAACTTTGTAAACGTCGCGTGTAACCACTAATAACTGTAAACGTCACGTGTAGTTAAGGTTTTTGTTCGTCACGAGAGGTATGTGGATATAAAGACAGTCAAGGGAAGCAATGTTATTGTTTAAATTTATTATCAATCCGATTTATGATCACCATGAATCCAGTTAAAGCTTATATTATCAATCCGATTTGTGATCACCATGAATCCAGTTAAAGCTTATATTATCAATCCGATTTGTGATCACCATGAATCCAGTTAAAGCTTATATTATCAATCCGATTTGTGATCACCATGAATCCAGTTAAAGCTTATATTATCAATCCGATTTGTGATCACCATGAATCCAGTTAAAGCTCATTTACTCTAAGTTATTTACTTTGTTCGCATTGTTTGTTTGTTTTTAAAATTTGCGCAAAGTTATTTCATTGTTATATGCACTAGCTGTCCCTAGTTTTGAAGTGACAGACTAGAGGGAAGACAGCTAGTCGACACCGCCCGCTTCTCTCTACCAACGAATAACGGGATTGACTATCACATTATAACGTCCTCACGGCTGTAATGGCAAGTATGTTCGAAGACAGGATTCGATCCCGCGACCCACAAATTACAAGTTCTCTAATTACTAGGGCCATGTTAGGCCCAGTTTATTCCTCTGGATGGTAGTTTTTGTCCCCGACTTTAAAGTTTAACAACTGATCATGTGTGGCACATGTAACGATTTTTTTTCTTTCGGAATATTTAATTTTATTTCAATCAATATGTTTTCGTTTTTTAAAAAGATTGAATATAGAAAACTGCCATTTTTTGTTATAAAAAGGTGACGAAAGTGGTGTCATCTACCGACAACAAATGTAAGTGAAAGAACTTTGTGTTTTTTTTTGGGGGGGGGTATTGCTTATGTGTGAAAATGGATTTCAACCAATAGCAAGTTATTATAAAAATATATCATGCTGCATTTCAACCAACGTATGGTTATTAGAAAATGTTATATTTTTTTTTATAGAAATGAACTTTTAACAACAAGTTTTTTTTCATAAACTTTCTTTTCACTGTCGATTTTTTGTGATATTTGCAGAAAATTTAAAACGAAAAATGTACTAGAAAAAAATTAAAGATGGTTAAAGGGGAGAAAAATGTGACATCATCGGTGCTTGTAAGAAATAATCCCTTTCTTAACTCAAAGTAAAGTATTAATAAACGTCTAT